TTTTGTGTTTAAAATATATCTCTAAAATATCAAACATCTTCCTGGCTGGTGTGGTTCAGTGGTTGAGCATCGACCCATGCACCAAGAGGTCGACGGTTCAATTCCCAGTCAGGACACATGCCCAAACTGTGGGCCAAATCCCCAGTGCGGGGACATTCAGGAGGTGGCCAATCGATGTTTTCTCTCATCAATGTTTCTATCTATCTCTCTAAAATCAATAAAGAAAAAGTATTTTTTTTTAAATCAAACAACCCGCCGTGTTTTCTTATCACTTAGACTATCCTTTATTCTGAATAATACTGTATATGAACTGTGAATAGATTAATTTCAAAGTAACCCTAGGAATTGTTGGATTAAAATTATTTCGTGAAAAATCTTTTGGGCAGTTTCCTACATTAAATGAGCTAAAACTTAGTCCTGTAGTTTTTAAGACGGGCTTTGTGCTTAAACTCAAGTCTACAAAAATAAAATGACAGAATTCTTGGCCAAATTGAGAAAAGGATTTGCCTCTGCTGACAATCCTGATAATCCAAAGAATTCAAGCCAAATTACAAGATTATAGGCACAGTCATGTTGGTGCCTATGCATGAACAAACATCCTCTTAGGATCCTCATTCAAAAGTTAAGTTACCCAATCTATTATCAAATGCATGTTGGGAATAAGATGCTGTTCTGATCCATAGATAAAATGGGATGCCTGATCATTGAAAAAAACTCAAGGAGAATAAAAAGACTGTAGACACAAACCGATGATGTTGCCTCGGCATGAACAACCAACACCATCTCACCTCGTGGGCACTGCGAAGGCAGCTGCTCTGACCCACACGAAAAGCAAATCCATTGCTGTACACAAACTCAGATGCATGTAAAGTTGTCTTCTATATACATTTAGCAAGAACTGAATTTAAGTAAATACAGCTCCACACCCCTGGTTGACAGTCATCTTGGCTCTTGACTGTGCAAAGATCTTTGCTCTGTGGATTATCTGCTGAGGCTCAAGGTAGTCGGCATTTTATCATCAGTTGTCATAATTCCAATTCAAGGAAATACTTGCACTACGGTCTCTTCTGGTAGCACGCAAACACTCTAGGAATTTGATGCCTTCCAGCGTAAACTGTGCTTGTTATATAAGTACGATCCAAGACACTTTTCAGAACAGCACAAAAGAGATTAGATCCACTTCAGTTTAAATTGTCTAAAGAGAGTTCTCAGTCGTGGATTTGTTAATGGCTTAGGTACCACTAATGGAAAATAGAGCCATGCATTTTTATTAGTCACCCAAGAAGCCTTTGGGTCTCAGGTGCTTCTGGAGGGCTCAATCCCCACGCTGTTCTTTTAACAACCTGGAAAATGTCTTGCCTGATTAGGAAGTTAGTCATTTCACATTTTGACATCTAAAACAATGCGAAGTCTAAAAACCTCACAAATTACATTTTTAAGTAACAGGATACATCACTTTAAAGATGAAGAGCTCAAGGATTTGTGGCGCCTGTCTTTGTTCCTGCTAATCCTACTTGACATTATAAATACACCCAGTTGGATTCAAACAACAAATGTTGACAATTAGTTCTCTAACTTGATGAAAAGCACTGTTATTTTCTATCGGTAGATGTACTCTGAGAGTTTAACCTTCTAAACGTATTTGTTATTTCATCAATCAGAACCGGTCCAGCCCAAACACTCTCTTTGTCATTCAGTTTTAAAAGTTGAAACCGTTTTAAACATAACGTGTTCTGAGCAGGAGTGATAACGGAGAATCTGGGGAATGTCCTTGCAGTCCTCAGTTTCTGGAGAATGTTTATGCCTTCTTGTTTTAGCCGTGGTCACAGACATCCCCTGAGGCTTTTCCTTTCCATTTACTTTGTCCATTTAAGGTTAACATATTAGGAGTTTTGCTACTGAGAGATGAAAATAAATAGCTGATGGAGCTTTCTCAAGGCTCCTGGATTGGCCACTGCTTCTCCCCTGGCTTCGCTGGGATGTCTTCAGTACAGGTGGTGGTCAGGCCACCAAGCAGAGCTTCTCAGCAATGTGTCATATTTTTCTGCATATTCTGAAGAAAATGGGGTGGGGGAGGTGCCTGTTTATTGGTATGCACTGAAAAATAAAGGATAAAATTCATCATGATAAAGTTTCCCCTAATCACATTTTAAAGTCCATTGGCCTATGGAATTTTATTGTGAAATTCACTGTAACACCATGGTCCTGGGCATTCGTTGTTCAATATGACGGTGAACACAGTTGGGTGATGTGAAAACACTATAAACAAGAATATCATCTGCATTGTTTTCAGTTTTATAACTCTAAAAAATAAACTGGGGTGAGTATCAGTACTGTGATTTTATTCATTCTACATGTTCATTACTCTAGTATTTGTTAAGTGCCAAGGTATTAGTTAATTCAGTCTAGTCATAAAAAGTAAAATCCTTTCCTCTTGGTTCATAATTATATCTCATATCATTTAAGTGTATTTTTACGCTATTTTTTTCTTTGTATAATTTTTTAGTTTATTTCAATATGTAAATTCAATCTCTTCCTTTCACATTACAAAGAGCCGTAAAAAAATCAATACAGTCCATGTTTTAAAATTTTCACAAAATCACTTTCCCAATAAATTTGCAAAAACTCATAGCCCAAAAGAATTGACTGAATAATCCAAGTATGATTTTTATAAGAAACAGAGATTGAAACAGTCATTGAAATAATAGACATGTTTCAAAATAGTAAAGTATAAATTTGTAAAACCTCAAATTCCAACAATGTTATAATCTCCTTCCAACAATAGTTGCTAAATATAAATATAATTGCTCTAGATAAATGTTGGTGGTGAAACCATCCAGTGAAAACTGATTACATTTAGGGACTTAATATTATTTTAAAAAAATTAAAGTCCCTGAAAATAAGTATTTCTCTCATAAAGCATTAGAAATCTACTAATAATAACTCAAGTAATAACTCCCTAATTTGTGACTGTTTTCATGCTATTCTATTTCACCATTTCTTCCCCACCCTGATCGAGAAAATAGGTATATTATATTTAGCTGGTGTTCGCATTTTGATTTTATTATTCGACTTTCACCGTAATGATGGACAGAACGAAGTTTTCTAGCAGAGGCGAACTGTAACGGCCACATTGGAAGGCAATGCTGGCTGAAAGGTAGAGATGGCAACACCGGGCGGACAAAGACCAGAAAGCCGGGAAGCTCATTTGGTGCTCTCTCTAGAGACTGAAGAAAACGTATTTATTGAAAGTATTTTTTGACAGATCATGACAGCTGATTTCATTTCAACGTTATCCCCATTCATTCATAAAGTATAAATAACTTTTTTTTTAATCCTCACCCGAAGATATTTATCTTCAGATAGAGAGAGAAAGAGAGAAACATCGATGTGAGAGAGACACATCGACTGGTTGCCCCCCAACCAGGGCCGGGGACCAAACTGCAATCAAGGCACATGCCCTTGACCAGAATCAAACCCGTGACTCTTTGGTCTGTGGGCCAATGCTCTAATCACTGAGCCAAACCAGCCAGGGCTAAATACATTTTTTAAAAATGATCAGATGTTAGAATGTTAATGTCCATGGCAACTCAGTGGTGGTGCTGGGGAAGGTCCAGTTCATCCATCAGGCCCTACCCAGGACCACAGGCAGAGGCTGGGTTAAGCATCTTCAGAGCGCTCTGGCTCTTATAAGATGTGCTTCCTATGGGAACAGGTCCTTCCTCTTTAGTCTTAGGGTTTGGATAAATCAGAAACTCTAAATATGGGCTAAGACAAAATGCCAGGGACTGTCATCTCACACGTCATAAAATAATATACAACATTAAAAAACATTTTCTATAGTAATCACCATTCTGAAACCATTTCTAACGACTTCATCTCAATTGTTATACATCAACATTTCACTGGGAAAAACACAGTAACTGATACTGAAACAGAAATTGGTTTTGTAGTAATCACTTATTCCTGCATCTCAAAAAAAAAATTGATGGTCCGGCCCGTGGGGCTCAGTGGTTGAGCGTCACCCCATGCACCAAGAGGTTGTCGGTTTGATTCCTGGTCAGGACACATTCCCAGGTTGTGGGTCTGATCCCCATTGGGGGGCATGCAGGAGGCAGTCAATCAATGTTCTCTCTCATCAATGTTTCTATCTCTCTCCCTCTCACTTCCTCTCTCTGTAAAATCCATAAAGGAAAAAAATTTTTTTAATTTGATGAATATCATCTTCCTTATCTATTTGTTCAAAATATGTATTAAAAACATCAAATATTCCCTGGTAATAAATTTACCCAGTAATAAGTTAAATATAATAAATTGGATATATATGGTAATGATTTCAAAATTCCGAGTTTAAAATTCTGAAAACTGACACTTAAAGCTAATGATCTTTTCAGGCTTAAAGAACAAAACCTTTTAGTTATAAATGTTCATGGAAGGAATTAAATTTTTTAAAATGAGAACTTCTCTCCATTTTCATTAATTAGTGGTCACCATTAAATAAAATCTTAAGTTTATGGTTATGATCATAGAACCAATAATAATTGAAATTTAGCCCTGGCTGGTTTGGCTCAGCGGTTAGTGTCGGCCTGTGGTCCAGAGAAGGGTTCAGTTCCCGCTAAGGGCGCGTACCTCGGTTGCAGTTTGTCCCCGGCCCTGGTTGGTGGTGTGGGTGGTAGTCACTCAATGTGTCCCTTTTACGTCAATGTTTCTCTCTCTCTTCTCTCTCCCTCCCACTCTATCTGAACAAAAAATGGAAAAAAAAAATGTCCTCGGGTGAGGATAAAAAAAAATAATTGAAATTTAACTTCAACAGAATTATAAATTCTGGTCACCTTATTAAAACACTGATTTAAATAAGACTAATGATGATGTGATATTAATTCACAGGTACACCAAAAACAAAACAAAAATCAATCACACTTTCATGATATTTTGTTCCACGTGCCAGTGAACAAATTAATACATCATTTTCTTTCTACAGGAAAACTGAAGACCTTAATAACAAACCCTCCAAGGTCAAAATGAATACAGGTATGCCATCTCTGTTAGTTGTAAACTTTTCAGCTTTGCTCTCTAAAAATCATCTTGGCCCTAAATCATTACTTTAGCCCTCTGCTGATCATGTGACAAAGTTTCTGATTAAAGGGATAGTGTAAATTCATTACTTAATTTCTTGGTCTTTTTGCTCCAATCTTACAGCAATCAAAAGTAGAATTTCGGGTTTTATCTACTCTTACTCCCTTTTTCTGTAAATCCTATCTTGAACTAAGCTCCTATATACACTAGGAAGAGATAGTATGTGATTTGCATGCATCCATTTGAAATCCCTCTTAGAAGAGGCTAAATTCAAAGGCTCGTTGCTCTAGTAGAAAATATTTAAAATTTCCTGTTCTATAAACCTGTTATGTTGTCAGCAGATAGTGCCAATGCTTCCCAGGAAGCCGGCTTAATTAATCCACATGCACTGCACACCTCAGTCAGAAGCATCATATTTTTAGATGTGAGAACAGTACCTCCAATTAGCTTAACAACGGGACACCGCTGAACTCTGTCTTGTGTGCAGATTAATGTAAAAGTGTTTGTGATACATGTTATGTACATATGAATTTTTGTCCATAGTGGCAATGTTTTAGCATACATTTTCACCTTTTTCCCCCTGAAATCTTTATATTCCGTATTAAGCAATTCTGGAAAACAACTTTCTCGCTGAAATTTTATAACTTGTGTTTTAAAAAATACTCTTTCCTATCGGCAAGCAATCACTGGAAAGTTTGCTGTCTTTTGTTATCAAAGTGCCTCAAGGGAGGACTAGCAACCACTGGTGAGAACCAGCATCTAACCCCTAGATCACATGCCCCTCTCTCCATGACTCCGTGGCTGCCCCTTAGCAGAAGCCTGCTCGAACTGACCTGTGAACTCTAGGTCAGCTGGCCCCTGAGGATGTAGTCATCTCATAGATGTGCAGGGTAACAGGCGAGATGAGGATGCTGGAGACAGTCAAAACATACAAGGAAGACGGAGAAATCCAGAGCAATTGTAACTCTAGAAATGAATCAAATGAAGGCATTTCAACAGTGGGAGGTGTGGGAATTAGACACGGGAAATGAAAGAAAAATATTAGGTAAAGGAAGTTGAAGAAAGAGAAGAGAACAGACAACCCATAGCTGAACTAGGGTAAGTCCTGTCGTGAAACTGCAGTCACTCCAGCAGAATGTCCACAGGAGGCAGTTACACTTCCACTGCTAATAATAGCTATGGGAAGGCACAGAATTTCCATAATTGTTCTGAGACATCTTCTCGCAGACTTAGCTGACCTAAGACATAACTTCCCAATATCCTTCACTTTGTGGAGTGCTGACTTCCTGTTTATTATAACCCGTATGACAGAGGCATAATACGTGATCATACTGAAGATTCCATATTCAGGCACAATGTAGTCAGTAATTAATCTTCCTATTCATAGAATTCAATCACTAATGGCAAAGTAGGCAATAGAAAATTTTAAATTTGTTTAGGTCTCTGGGGTACTTCGTGGGTCTAACAGTACCACATGCTGCGTTGTCAGTAACAGCACCTCCACTGCGTCAGGGACACTCATCCCTCTTGGCTATTTTCAGTTTGTAGAGTTTGCTAAATCTTATTGGTGCTTCTCTTGAAGACAAGTTTGGTTGTATGTTTCCACCATTTGTGTCTTTCTATGTTTGGTCTTGAATTACAGTCTTTGATTTATTTGACCTACTTTATTATGTTGTTGCAAGTCATTTTTTTATTTTAAATTATTGTCTGCATTAGGAAATTGTTATTTTAAACATATTCAAGAAATTATGTTTTGATATGAGACTCAGTCTACCAATTTTAAGGTCTACTGACATTACTACTTGTAATTTTACCAATGATTAATTGATACCAGTTAATAACATACTTTCAAGCACTCTTAAGTTCCCTCATGTCCAATAAACAAAGTGGATACTTTTCCTTAAGAAATAAATAAAAAGTATGAATGTCAAATAACTATGTTGTACACCTGAAACTAATATAATATTGTATGCCAACTATCATTGAAAAATCAAAAAATATATTAAAAAAGAAAAAAATTAGAAGAGCATGTGGCAATATATGATTATATTATCATATTGATGGTTATATCATCTGTCTCTCTTGTTATAACTTTAAAAAAGCATTAAATTTAAGTTGTTCTGGTTCCAGGGGAATGGGGAAAACTATTTATTGCACATTCCATATACAGAGGAATGTGGGAATGGAATTGGAATCTGTTTGTAAATAGAACATTAATCTTCCAATTTTAGAAGTCTTGTAACTCTAAACTTGGATCACTTTATAATAGCTGGTACATTTTCACTTACTTTGCTTCATGTTGTGATTTTCATAAGTGTAAATATATAGATCATCATATATGTATTCAAAAGTATAAAAACTAATTTTTAAACATGGTCATTTCAGTACTGTATATATCAATAATACCTCTGATTTCAATTAGGCTAATTATTTTCACAACTAACAACTATGGGAAGATATAGAATTTCCATAATGCTATGTTTGTTTATGAATCTTGCATATCAAATAGATCGTGCCTCTATCAGTTAATAACATTTACTTCAAGAGATGCTTAAAACCATCTTCAGGATAATAGCTAAAACACAGTAAAGCTAAATGATGGCTACCAAGGTAGATTCTACTACGGCTCTTAACCCTGAAAGAGAGGTTACCCATAACTCTACAAGCTAGTTACACTACTTACAAATTTAATAGTTGATTTTAAACAGTATAAACAAAGTTGAGTTTTATACTTACATGTTTTCATTAAAGAAAACTCGTAAAATGTGAAGTAAACCTGACTTTTTTTTTTTAATGAAAGCATTGGTATCTATTTCTAAAACAGACCTCTGCTTTTTTCTTCTGTTTTGTTTTGCTGGTTTTAGTTTGGGGTGGTTGTAACATTTGCGGACGGACGCCATGGTCACTCATTCTGACCGTCCACCCTCGTGGGTGTCTGGCACATTTCACCTACAATGCATGACGTTGCACGTGCTTTGCTGTGGCTTCTGCTATGTCGTGTTTTTGCTTCCAGATAGCGGTGGGTGTGTTCGCAAACGTGCTGCCATGTCTGTCACATTAACATCTGTGAAGAGAGTTCAAAGTTCTCCAAACCTATTGGCTGCAGGTATAATATCACTAACTCACAGAATGTCGCACTCGAATGGCTTTATTTGACCTTTCTCTCTTTCCAGAAGTATCTTGTTTGGATGAAGAAAGTGACTGCAAATACCTTTTGAATGTCCTACAAGTTCTTACATTTCTTGTCTCAAGAATAGCTCCTGTCCCTTCTGACTGTTTTCGTTCTAAAAATACAAAAGCCAAAGGAAACTGATATCTTGTAGAAAACATTTTAAAAATCTAATTAAAAACAACTGTCACTTGCCAAAAATGTGCTGAGTAACTCCAAGTGTTAATAACTATTTAAGTTTTTGTCTCTTATGAACTAAAGTAACACAATATTTAACCAGGACGACTCATAGTTGCTTTAGTTGTTTTTTAACCTAAAAACTATTGAGGGGGTGTGGACACAGGGGGTCAGAAAGAGGGATTTGTAGGAAACTGAATATTTATTCATTTATTTCTTCAACAAAGGTTGCAAACAGAATGATAGATTATTTATTTTGAAAGAGATCTTAAGCCTTCCTTTAATTCAGTCAGCCAAGGTCTTTCTAGTACAAATTTTTAAACATCTTGGTGCAATTAAGATTAACGTGTAACCACAGGTACACATATACTCTAGAAAATAATTGGCAGTGTGATATCAGCTTCCACTGAGGTGGGTATCACTACTAAACGTCTGTCAGAACCTACCTAAGCTTGTAGGCACAGCACACTCAGAGAGATGCTGCTGCAGAGATAAAGTGACCCTGGCAACCCCAGCAGCTCCTGACCCACAAACTCACCTACACATTTTGGTGCCTGTCTGATTGGTTTGATCGTTAGTTCGTTACTTGGGGAAGGCGGAGGGGGGGATCTTTGTTTTTTATTTCTATTTGTGGGGTTTTGGAGCAGAAGCGGAAAAGGGATGGAGAGTGTTTAAACTTATTTATTTATTTTTGTTCATCCTCACCTGAGAATATTTTTCCATTGATTTTTAGATAGAGTGGAAGGTAGGAAGGCGAAGAGAGAGAGAGAGAAACGTCGATGTGAGAGCGACACATCAATTGGTTGCCTCCTGCATGACCCTGACTGGGGCCGGGTATTGAACCCGAAACCCAGGTGCGTGCCTTGACCCTTCGGTTTGCAGGCTGACGCTCTAACCACTGCGCTGAGCCGAACTGGCTAGGGCAAGAGCGTTTCAATATTTGTAATTCTCACTGTGCACGTCAGTCAGTACCTTTTACACACATACACGTAGTAGTTAGTTAAATGCTCAGATGTCCTTGGTCCTAAACTCTCCAGCTCGGTGGAGGAAAAGCAAGCTTCCATCTGGCGAAGCCCACTGCTGCCCCAACCTCCCGTCCACGGATGGATTTCAGTGTCCACGTTTACGTACCAGACCAGGTGGTTCCAGAATATATTGTTGTTGTTGTTTCAAATGCAAGTTTCATTGCAGTGTATGTAGTGTAATTTCAGTTTGGTTGAAAAAATCTTTTTTTCTCTAACTATGTATTTGTACATGTTTGCTCATGCATATGTGAGCATGAAAACATGGGATACCTGAGGGAAATGGGAATAAAAGGAAATTAGAAAAATAAAATAAAGTCCAGAGCCATCAGGTAATCAAAATTCCTATACCATGAATATCATTGACATTTAAACCAAGTAAAATTCTAGCCCAAGCTACTCAGACCTGGACCACTGGCTGGCACCTGCTAGGGAGTGTGGCACCCGCAACAATGCTGAATTGTTACTATTTATCAAAGCAACGCCAGGAGGAGTAACAGTGATTGGATTAGAGATTACCATTTAGGAGAGTTCACATTAGAATATCAGCAATTTCATATCACTAAACTTGAAAGAAAAGATTTAATGATGCTTTAGAATCAAAATAATAGAAAACATTTAATACTTTAAGAATATGAAATAATCTTCAGTAATAAGTATGAAGAGGCTATAGGCCATTTTAAATTTTATATCATTAGGAATAAGATTTCTAGAGAATGAAGTCCCCTGAATTTTGGACTTAATTGTTACATTAAACATAGACCTCTTTTGTATTAAGACACACAGGTACGATCCCTTTTAAAAAGAATATTTAATTCATTTTGAAAGAGAAATCACCTTCTTTAAATTTTTTTTTTTCTTATTGATGTTAGAGAGAGAGGAAGGGGGAGAGAGAGAAACAGAAACAATGATGAGAGAGAACACTGATTGGCTGCCTCCTGCATGCCCCCCACTGGGGATTGGCCCACAGCCTGGGCACCTGCCCTGACTGGGAATCAAACCGGTGACCTCTTGGTGCATGGGTTGACCCTCAGCCACTGAGCCACACTGGGGGGCAAAATGACCCTCTTTTTATGCCCTTCACATTACCTGGTAACCTTCATGAGAACTTATTTGACACCGTGTCTTTTTGTGAATCAAAAGGGGATTAGCGAGTCTTTATTGCATTAGATATTGTTAAAACAGCACAGCCTTTAAGTAAAAGACCACCTCCCCAAAAGGTTTTATGGTTCCCTCTCTCACTCTTGTGAAAAATCAATTAAGCTGCTCAGCATCACCTATTTGTCCCCCAACCTGTGTTCCTCTTTTCCGTTTATGAGAAGTAGAGTCCCTGTGGGTAACTCAGACACGTGGATGTTTGAACCCTAAGCTCAGGTAGCTCTGAGGGCGACAGGCTGTGGTGACCCCTGTGCCAAGAAACACCCCTCTCTGTTTTACACCCTTAGGAAAATCTGTGTCTATAACTCAGGTTTCCTTTTAAAATATAGAAAATTTGTCATTTTCCTACCTCTCTGAGAACTTAAGCATTTCCTAGACTCCCCAAGATTTGTAAAATTAAATGAGGGTAAATAAAGACAAATTTTAAAGGCTTACTGCAGTACTTAGAGGCAATGTAGGCAATTCAACTAGTTGACTTAATACATTTGAGTTAATTCTTACCAAGTAATTGAGCCCTCTAAAGGAAGGACCTAAAAGAATTAAAATCATCATAATTTTCAAGAAAAGTATAGTTTATAACGTATACAACGTCAGTCCAAAGGCATTTAAATGCTGGAATCGTAGAGTGTGAAAGGGCATCCGGCCCAACCCCGGACACCGAGCATAAGCCTGGACAACGTCTCTGACAGGCGTCCTCGGCCACCTCTGCCTGGACACAGAGTGTGCTTATTGTACCAGTGATGAGCGGTCACAGCTCTCGATTCTCAAAGACCCTATTAACATTCACATGCAAAAAAAGCCAGGGAACGATACATCTGTCCCATGTACTCATTCTTAAATTTTCAGAGACCCCATGACCTTCTACCAAAGAACACTAGCGATGTAGGGCTCTGATCCCTAGAGTTATGGCTCTCTTTTTTCACAATGAATGATCGTAAATAATATTCAAGATATTGGACAAAACCATCTTCCCCATGCATCTGCCAAGTCATTTACCAGTTCAATATTTTTTTAAACCTATATTCTCTACTTGACATGACCCAGAACGCTGTCATGTTTTCTGTGACCTGCTCCCAAGAACACTTGTTTTCCCTTTGCTGCCTTCCCGGCAGGGAGGAGGTGAACAATATCCATGTGGAAGGCATTTATCTTGAAGTGCCTCAGAAGAATTATAATAAAATAGCGCCTTAGGACTGGGAGTTTTAAATATGATAACTGGACGAATTTTAAAGAAACTGTAATGTTGTACAGTTGACTGTCCTTGAGAGACTCCCCTCATAGGTGTGGACTTTAATCACTAACATAAACTTCATCAAAATATGGGATCGTCCTGAAGTTCGCATCCTTGGCCATTTTTTGTTCCTTTCTCCTTTCCCGTAATTCTGCATATTCGTGTTACTCCGTTCAGCAGGACGTTTCAAGAGCGCTCACATGATTGATGCCTCACAGTTCCAGTAGCACAGGTTCGGTTTCATTAGGAAATCCTGGGCCCAGTCTACGGAGAGGGGAAGCCCCCAGCTGAGCTCAGCATGACTGCGCGCCGATTCCCACACTTAATGTTGATCCTACTCAAGGATCTATAATCTCACACGTGGTCACCAGTTAGACAAAGAGCTGGCCCTGTACAAACTGTCAAGTAGGGGAAGTTTATTCCAAAGTGTCCTTCAGATCTTCTCAGTATACCCCCTCTTCCTCACCTATTCTCAAGCGAATAATTATAACACAGATAATTATTACTCTTCATGCTGCTTGTCTGTTCATTGCCACTTCCCCAAGTCCCCCAACTTGTTCCGTATCCACCAGCAGTACGCGGTGTCCAGGTGGTTATTAAATCTCTCTCCTTGACTGCCCACAGCAGAGATCTAATGACTGCTCTTCACAGAGTCCTCATTATCATTTAAGTGACTGAGCATTTCCATCATTTCTGCTCCCATCAAATCCTAGAAACAGAGTCTAGTAGACATTGCACATATAACTCTTCAAAGTTATTTTCACTTTGCAGTCCCCTTTTTATTACTCTGCTTTTGAATTCGCTGGAGTTACGATCCATACCGAATTAGCAATTATCATTTAAAAAAATGAAAATTAGTTCGTCTTCTCTAACTCATTTGAGCTGGAGTCATTCTAATGTAACTCTGTACTGATTTACATTTATTTTTCTTCCTTTGATATGGAAAGAATCCACATCAAATATTTTATCTCAATTCAAACTCTTGCATGACTCAATTAATTTTTATCATTTCAAATACCTGTGTTTAGATTTTTTAAATAACCATCCCTTAAGCATTAAGAAGAAAACCAAGATTCCTTTTTACATGTAACTTTCACGTGCTACTAGACTTTGAAACAGCAGCAAGTTAATCATGATCTCAAGGCACATGTAGAAGGAACCCAGGACCAGGTCAGAGGTTAGGCTGAATGAATGACCTGTAGAGTCCTTTCCAAAGTGAAGGCTTTATGATTCTAGGTGAGGTTGGCCATGAGGTGCAATAGACCCAAGCAATCAAATCAATTACCTCCAATGTGCTTACGCTATAAAAGATTCTTGCATGTGTGAGCCCAACAAAACTGATAGTATGTCCTTGAGCTACTTTCCTCCTGCATTAACAGAAGCAGTTTCTCAGTCCAGAAATTCGTTTTCCACAGCTTTCTGCAGACAGTGCAGCGCACTGTAACAGCTCTTTCGTATTTGAATATAAGATGATTTTAAATGGCAATAAGAAGAAAATTTAAAGTTTAAAGATGATTTGAAGTATCGCTTAATATGGTAGACATATTTACACTTTCTTCAAATTAAAAGAAATGCAAACTACAAAATAATTGATCACTATCTAACATGGGAGTTGAATATGGTAACACCAGGCCACCCACAGGATGTGGAGGTTTGATTTAGTGCTAGAGAAACACTCATTGTGTACACACCAGGTATCTTTGGATGTTTTAATTTGATATTTAGAAATTCATACATTCAGCTTGGGCACTAATAACATAAAATTACATGGTTGCAATAACATTGGGGGTGGAAATCAGCGTTTGATATAGGTGTTAATTATACATTATAATTACATAATGAATAATATTCTAATTGAACTTAAAATAAATGTACAAACTTCTCATTGGTATATTTTATGTACTCAGATTTTTAGAACTGAGATAATGTTGCCAAAGAAAAAATATGCATGTCGTTCTTTGGCAAAATGATCTTGACTTGATTGTTCATTTTCTTTACCCTCATAGTAATTTCACTGTTTCTTTTTCTCTTAGGGCGTGATTCTCAGTCACCAGACTCAGGTACAAAAAAGCGATTCTGAATAACCATCCCATGTGTTATGAGCTTTTTAAAAACATATTCATAAGCGCATTGTTAACCTCACAGTAAATAAATTGCATGTGTAGTTATGCATATTAAATTAAATTTCTAAAGAAAACTTAAAATTTATTTTTATGTCAAAAAATGTTAAAAATGAATGTAGATGTTTTTGTATCCAACTTGTGTTCCCCTAAAAAAGCTTGGCGATCTTACAATGACCCAAATCCAGAGACACTGAACGGAGATGCTCCATATTCCTCTCTTGCAGCAAAAGGCTTTAGAAGTGTTCGACCAAATTTGCAAGAAAAGAGATCAGCAACCCAGGTACTCCTGCACACTCTTGTCTGCTGTGTGATTGTAAAGCTCCAGTATCTCTTTTCTAGTAACATGTACATATGTTGATACATTGTGTTTTTAATATGTTTTTGTTTTTGTATTCATGTTGCTGGTCAGACTCACATTTACAGCAGGAAGACAAGCCTTAAATTCAAAACAGATTCTATTTGTTCTGATTCAGCTGATAATAGTAGGTCAGCTTCTAATGTAATGTTTAGGATATTTTCTGATTCTTAAATAGTTGTTAGCTGATGATTTAGACTTCAAAATTATGAGGTCAGCAGGGCATTATATACTTAATAAATATGAGTTATGCAACTGCTTGTTATATTAACTAAAGGAATTCTGTGTTGGAGATATGAGCAAAATGAATAGTATTATCAAGACAATGTAACTTAATTATATATAATTTTATATATATATATATATGTGCATTTTGCTTCAAGACCTAAAAATATGCAAGAGAACATATGTTCACTTTTAACATAATTTCCTAGGATGTAGATGGAGACAAACTTTATAATGTATTCTCTATAAAAACTATTTTCCCCTAGAGGGCAGCTTTTGATAATAAAATAAAACACATTCCTAATGGAATAAAATGGATCAATCTAGCCACAAAAATGTATTGCATAATAGGAAGACATGAGATTGCTTTACTCTCGTTAAGGATGGAGTTGCCGCTGGTTCCTTTCATGACTAACTATGACTTTCTCTGTTTTTCCTTCAACATTGCTCCTTTCTCTGGATGCTTGGGCAATCCAGGCACCCCTTCCGCCGCACAGAAAACAGGACTCTTGTAGCTCCTTGACAACCAGTCACACAAACAGTGACATTTTAGACCAATTAGTAGCTAACACACACGTTCCCTCCTGTACAGAGTACTTTACTAATAAAAAACCTCTTCAGGGAACTATGTATTCCAATGAAGATGACCCCAGCCAGACAATTGTATATTCTGAAGAATCTAACACAACTGTGTCGTATACACAGAAAATCACCAATCTGCTACCACCAGCATCCAGCACAGGTCCCCCACCCAGTGCTGACATGAGTACCCCCTTTCTACAAGAGGACTACACACAAGATTCTCACACTCGGAAAACTTCTACACTGAAACTAAGCCATAACCAGGATCTAGGAAGTAGTATCCCCTTTCTTCCTGCACAGTTTCCCAAATCTGTTGACGTACCATCATTTCTCAAAAGGCCCTGCTCACCACCCCCTAACCCAGTGCCTGAGAAACACACAGCATCTCTTTCCATTCAGATAGCTCCCCTGTCAGGGCACGATCCGGAAAGCCACAGACAGCTACCTGAGCTTTCTCCAGAGACTACAGAGATACCTCTTCAGCAAGAGAGACACAAGTCTGCAGTTGCTGCGACCTCTCAGTCCTCAGACTGCCGGGTGATACATTACACTTTCCAATCTCTTCTCACAGGTGTCCTGCAGAGACCTAACGCCTTCGCTCTGGGCTTCTTGTGTAACCTGCTGCTTTGTTAGTGTCCGATCAGGAAGGGAAAGGAGAAAGAAACCGTCTTCCTGTTTAACACCCTACTAAATTCATCAATACATTTCTAGGTTTCTTTTCATTTAAAAATATGGAAACATACAGATCTTTTATCCAGAAATAATGTTCTAAATGTTTCTTCCTTCTAGGTAGTTATTAGAAATCACTGATGGTCAATTATCACTTAAGACTCTGCAAAACCTCTTTGGTGCTCAAAGTACTTTAAAGTGTTAAATGTGTTTCATGCCAGACCTTTTAGCACCTGGATTTACTTTATTTACATATATAAAATTGCTTAACTATATACTCCCCTGATTCAGACACCACACTCCGTCAATATGCCCAAATCTATGTGACCATTTTAGGTCACTTGTCACCCAGGTCTTAGGTAGAGACTATAACGCTGTTTAAAACCTCTGGTAAAAAGAGTTTTTATAGTAAGGTTTTAGGGTAGTGTTGGATCACAACAGAGGTGGTCCAGCCAGGCCTTGGGGAAACTGGAGAACGACGTGAGCTACTCTCTCTTTCTCCATCTCACATGGTTCCCGTCTCTCCTCGCTGGGAGTTGACCTCATTCTCATCTCTTCACCTCTGCTCTCTCCTTACTTCAAGTTGCCTGTGACTGTCCATGGCATTCTCTGTCAATGTGCATCTGAGATTGTGGGGTATAAACCTACCCAACGGGGGCACTCCGTGTTACACAATTCAAATCCCCAGGAAGGAGGCACCGCCTCACCTGCCCGGTTGAATTCGGGTACCCCCCCTGAACAAGCGGCTGTGGCCAGTGAGGTGGAGTTACCTGGTAACAGGTGGCTGCCGGAGGGGCTGCCGGAGAGGAGGCTGATTATCATAGAAGGGGGGATGGGAGGGAAAGGTTTTCTTTCATAAAAATCCTTAAATTGTTTATTTTAAAATTACCATGGGCATTTAAAATCTTAACGATAAGGATAATTATATTATAAAATCCATTATAAGTAGCCATCAGATGGCTTCAGTGATTTTTATTCTTTTGTCATTTGTTTTCAGCTGTCAACTCCAATTATCCTGAGAGTGAAGTCATATAAAACTGTTAAGTTTGTCAAAATTTTAGTACCTATACAAACAGGTGAAGGGAAAAAATAATTCAAATACTATTAAGACACCTAATAAAATACAAATAATTTCTTAATATAGATTGATTTTTTATATCACTCTATCCTAGGTATTTTCTTAAGTAAATTACTGTCAACTATATTGAAAAGAACAAAACCTGTGAAATCCCTTTGCTCGATATTTAACACATTCTGTATGTTCCTTGAGAAATGAGGTCTAGAAGCTCAGCCATTAAAGAGGTTTGAAGGGGGACGTTAAGACCCCAGAGTACAGTGCCATGTTAAGCCAATAGGAAGCTGAAACAGAAAGAAAAATATGTCCTTTATATCTATATTTTTATGTATGGTTAATTTTTTCTAGAACATTTTAGTAGTTTAGAAAATATTAAAAAGTTGAAAAATAAGCATATTAAAACAAAATATTCTTTTAAGTTTAAATATTTCATTTATGCCAAAATAGAATTTATTATAATTTTACTTCATCTTAAATTAGTTTCAAAATGTGTAAGGTCATCATTGGTCAAGGGGAAATGATCAATCATGGCTATTCTATCAACTGAAAATGAGATCAGGAAAACATAGATTTTGAAAATAGTATTGTATTAAAATATTATTGCTCCCATTAAAAATCAAGGATACACATTTTTTCCTTTTCTTCAGTCTTCAATATGGCTTGATATGGTCATTATTTAAATTTTTGATATTTTGTTCAGTGTGAATTTTTTGGGCTTTGACTTTGATTTTTTTCTAAGATTACATTAAAATCGTGTTTCTCTCACTGAGCTTTCGTCACTCCGTTGAGCTTTGCACCCAAGTTATGGGCTTCACTCATCTCGACAGCTACCTTTGGATCTACTGAATCAAGAGTGATGGCCTGGGGCTTATGGCTACAGATCTGTTTTGTCTGGTTGCCACTGAATTAATTTTAGTTTTAATTTGGCCACCTTGAGGAAGGCCCTGCTTTCTCCATTCCACCACGGTTCCTATCATTCCCTCATCTAACACCTGGCCTGCACATTCTGGATACGTCCCAGGCCCAAGGCAGGCACTTGAGTTTGCAATGCCTACATCCAACCCAATAGACAGTTTTCCGCTGGTGAAGCTTATGCTTCCTGAGTCCCCTAACTCCCTAACTGCTGAAGGGGTTCAACCTAGGTTTAGTGATCCCTTTCACCCACAGGTTCTCCTTAGCATTCTGAGTTGAATTCCTGTGGACCAAGAGGCTCAATGCTATCTTGAATAACTAGCTGCTCTCTCTTAGAACATTAGTTATGTTGAGGCTTAAGCACTGTCCCTTCCTTTTGTAGAGACCAGACAGCAGCACGCTGGTGTTGCCAGCTCTTTCCTCCCGCAGAGCACAACAGTAAAAAGAAACTTAAACTCACAAAAAGTTGGTGACCTTTGGCTTATATTCAAACCTCTCAACCTTACATGGTCTTGAAAAGACAAAAACACAAACAGTTAGGATGAGTTTCTGCAGTCATCTATCTGCTGACGACTCAGTAGGGAAAACAAACAACAACCCTCCCACCCCCAAAAAGCCTGTTCTTGTTTTAGATTTGTTTTTCCTGCTTCACAGTACTCCAGGTTGAGAAAATGCTTCTTTCTTCCCTCTTTCACACCTTCCTCTTTTCTCCTAGTCACCACTCATTCTCCTCAGGGAAACATGTAAACTGTGATTCTCCTCCTGTGTCTACGAGGGTATTTCTCTCCTCCAAGAGAATGTTCCTTTAATGTGGACAATAGGGTTGTGTGGAAGGAACCCCAGCTAGTCTAAGAGGTAGTTTATATTTTTATCCCAAAATATTTCAGAGCTTTTGTGTGGGTGACCAATAGACAGTTGAACTTCTGAGTTTTATCTATAGAAATTTAAGTGTGGTATGATTCACCTGGAGGCATTTCATTTGTCACACACACACACACACACACACACGACTCAAAATTGTGAACATATCAAAAGGTTGTGAGAGAAATTGAAAAAGTGAAATAGTTCTGCTTTCTGTAGACAGACTCTTTGGAAGAACAAATAAATGGATACAGACCATTCTTGGATTTAATGCTATACCAACTGATCATATTACCCATAACAATGGGGTCTTTAAATAGAATGTGCTTTAGACTTTGACGTGTTTCTAGTCCAAATGATATGGGCAAGCCAGTCTCATGAGAATTATAGTCATTAGATATTTCCTTTTAATTTTAAAGGAAAAATCATCTTTGAGACGATAACTCAAATCCTTTTGCAGGATCTATTTTGTTGAGCAGAATTCTCACTTAGCATAAGCAAAATGAAAGAGATCCATGCTCTATGGAGAGCTCTTTAGTGAAACTGCATTATTACGAGAAATTTCATTGACACTGTCCAACCCAAGACTGCTCTATACATTCACACTTGTGGCAAAATTCTAACATATCAAGTTGTAATTATTATAGTTTTATACTATTACAGTTTTACTCCCAATAAAATCTGAAATTATTATGAAAATTTACTAATAACAAAGACACATTCTATTGAAATATTTTAAGTTCTGAGTAACTAAAATATCTGTCAATAAATTCCAGAGATTTTAAAACCATGTACAGTAAAAAGGTATCAAAGTGTCACATTTATAATGTTTAAACAACAACAACAAAAGCTTATTGAATAAAGAGAGAATAAGAAAATCTGTCTTTTTATCCAGACTTAGAGTTTCTTAACCTGTTAGATTAAGGATATGCTTTAGAGTATTGATGAACCTCTAAAGTTTATGCAGAATTCTGTGTATACCTACATGAATTTGTACATTTTTCCTTAAGAGGAGGATAAATAGCTTTAATCAGGTTTTCAAACTCTATGCCTTAGAGAGTTTTTTTTAGATGGTGCATTTTTTTAAGTATTTAATTTAAAATCTGAAGGAAAAAATAATTCTGACATTTTATAAGATCAACAGTCTGCTTGACATCAACTGTTATGAAAATGATGGTTGGCCAAGAACACCAAATAGTACCACTTAAATCTGTACTAGGCAAGATTTCTCAGTCCATACAGCTCTCTTTTGCTCCTTCTCCATCCTGGTATTACTATTCTATAATATTTTGGCTAGCTACTTACCCCTGGCATCGCATCAAACACCAAAAACAAACAAAAACAAAAACCCTCTGTTCTAAAGGTGCAGGGGAGTAAGAGATACATTTACTTCAGGGTTTCATTCACTCATGCTGAGGCTGATGCTTATCATCATCTTAGACATGTGTGGCCAGACACCCTCCTGGTTAGACCAGAGAGCTCCGAACCTTTCCTGGCCCCTCCCCCTCTCTTCCTTACAGACAGCCCTCCCCCTGTGGAGCCTCTCGGGTCATACAGCCTGGGAGGAGCTCAACCTTTCCTTTCTCCTCACGTTTCTTTCTCCTTTACCTGTGATTTGGTAGGTAAGCCAACAGTAGTAGTTCTAACCAACTAGGGTAGTTGTAAGCATCGTCAGTGGCCGGTTTCCTTTGCAGCTCGTTGGCACGCATAGGCACCACTCTGCATGGGCCGGATACTGAAAGTTTCACTCTTGGTGTTTCATAGTGACGTCAAGAAGGAGATTCAGTGAGTGGAAGGAGGACAGAATGTCCTTTCCAGTTAGTTGTCTTTAGTTGGATCGGTCTTGATATCTGTAAGTCATGAAAAGGTAGACAAACTGATTTCTATTGGGGGATGTTTCCTGGGGAGCGGAGGGGTGCAGTAGGTACGCTACAGAGATTTTTCTGGTGAAGGGAAAATTAATTCCGCTGACCAAGTGATGTCATTTTACTGTCACAAGCACAAAACCTAAAACTTCCGAGGGGAAAATAATTTCATTATGCCAACACTCTCAAACGCGCCCCCCCTCGCCCCCAAATGACTGGTCTTGGCTCCAAAAAACACTTACTGGATCCCCTTTCTTCGCGTGTTCCTGCTTTTTCTGTGCTGTGTGGTGGGCGCCTAACCCTCTGAATGCGTTTCCTTCAAGAGCTTGCAGATAGCACCAATGATATGCCTTCTCCACCACATTACAAAACACGTCTTAGTAATTGGACAATTTATATCTCCTCTTATTATTTCTTGCTCGGACTCAGCTTGGAAACCAGAACTTAACTGCCAATGTGCTGGAGGGTAAACGTCTCACAGACACACAGAACTACACCCCAGCCTCCTCCGCGCGCCTTCTGTGCTGCCTTTAACTGCAACACTTGCACCAAACTGAGACCCCAGGCCAGCTTCCCGCGCTGCCTCCCCCTGCAGGCGCGGGGCCTTCGCTCCTGCACAGACTCTGTTCACACAAACCCCTCCCCTTGCTCCTGACCCTGATCCACGCCCAGGCTCTCGCCCCAGACTCCTCCTGCCCTGGGGAGAGCGCTCCCGCCCTCCCAGCCGAGCTGCACAGGGCTGACCCCACTGACCGCGGGAACCCCTTCCCCAGCCCGGGTCAGAGTTCTGCCGCCGGGTAGCATCTCGTGGTGGCCCTGCTGCTGGGCATGGAACTCTGCTTCCTCCCTCTGACTCCAAAGGCAGAAAGGACTGATTTCTTGTCTACCATCTCATTTTGCTGCTGAGCATTTTTATTTGCACAACTGTTGATTGTTGGTAAACTGATTCTAGGTAGTCTATGAGGGAAATCCTCAAGATGCTGGTACTTAGAATATGAGTGATTTCCACAGCAGTTTGGAAAAATCTTAATCAATAAGCACTGTCACTGTGACAAAAAGTTTATAGACTTTAGGACAGATGTGGTATGGCTAAAAAGCAATAAAATTAGCTTTATTCTAGATCATGTGAAAACATCTGTTTTAAAGTGAAAAAAAAATCACGTAAATAAGCAGCTAACCACGCATCTATGTGTCGGGCCTGTAGAACAAAAGTTTATTTTGCATGAAAGTAAGTAGAAAAAGTTCACAAACTCTGTTTCTTTATGTGCATATATGTGTTTGGTGTACTCAGTTGTAAGACCATTTTAACGAAATGCTCTTACTAACGTTTTGCCTCATTCGCATGCATTATAATCTCCACAGTGCTCAGTGTGTTGTGGACCGATAGGCGTGTTTCATAGTGGAAAACTCCACCTCTGTGAACTAAGCTGGCTCAGTTCCGTGAGAATATGTATCTATTGAATATCTACTCTGTTATTAGCACCAGGATGCATGTCAAAAAATATAGGTATAAAAGAAGCATAAATATGACCACCTCCAACCAGAAGCTTGAAATACCTTTGAGGATATAAAATACTCAGATAGAAAGCAATCAAAACAATAAATTATTAAGAAACCAAACAGAGGCCCCAAAAGTGCTCAATGACGTTGGAGGAGGAAGACGCCAGGGTTTAACATATCTTTTTGATGCTTTATCAGGTATTCGATTCTTCTAGAATAGATTGACTTATGATACGTAAATCTAAACAACAGTATTCCTTTTACTAATCATCACCTTGCCCTGGAAACATCGATTGTTACAGGAGATCCCTGAGCAAATCCGAGAACCAACCCCTCTCCTCATGTCCAAGCACGTTCCCTTCAGATCCCACACGCAGAGCAGTGTGACAGGGTTTGACTCCGGCACAGCCATGAGAGCAAACTCGCCCTCCAGGCTCGCTGTACACCAACTGCTACTGCTGCCTCGGGCATCTCTGTGGGCAGCAGTGGCATGCCCACCAGTCAGCTGCTTTCTAGTCACCCCTGTGCCCTCTGACATGCCGGAGAGTGGTTTTCAGAAATAAAGATCGAGAAGACACTGAAAATATGTCCCCTGTCCCTCTAGACATGTGTTTCCATAGTAAATAGACACAGAAGCTGATTACTGTCATCTGAGGAAAGCCCCTTACTGTCTTCTAATGGAGCGATGTGTGCAGGGGACTGTGCGTTGACGGGATGCCTTTGTGCTTTCCTAGAGCCAGGTCACAGTGAATGGGAACTCCGGAGGCGCTGTGAGTCCAATGAGTTACTATCAGAGGCCGTTTTCCCCTTCAGCCTACTCTCTGCCTGGCTCACTCAATTCCAGCATCATCATGCCGCATGGCCGGTCACTTGGTAAGTCACTGGGAGTCATGGTTTGCACGACAATGTCAAAATAGCAAGTACAAACCACATGAGAAGACTATACAGCATCGAAGTAATTTTTAGAAAGGAGGCAGAAACATTCAAAACTTCCCGATTTAATGACCCTATCCTCGGGCAGGCGTTAGGGACAGCACGGAGTCAGCACCGGAAGACATAGCACCCTGCTATTCCAAGGCGCCTCCCTCTGGAGAGGCTGTTAGACGTGTGGGTGGTAGGGTAGAAGAGAGAGATGGGCAGTCAGGGGGAGGAGCGCGCACATCACCAGGAGAACATTCACGCGGTGCATTTCCATGTACGGGAAACGCCACTCCATGTCAACGCACCCATTCCTTCATGGGACACCTTCATTGTAGAGAATTCTTTGGTGTCTATAACGAGGAACTAGTTAACAATTAAAACAGTCTAACAGGGGGACAGGGTGCCTCATACTGAATCACTGCCTCACAAAGTAAAGTACTCACACCGAGGCCCAAAGACCACCAGTCAGGGATGTGAATTCCTTTGAATGATGAGCCCAGAATTCCCTAGAGACTCAGCTCTCAATCTTCTGGGAATTAAGAATCAGACAAAAGGTGTAGCTTTGCTCCAGAAACAAAATGAACATTTGAACATATATAGAAACTTTTCCAGCATATCATTTAATGGGGCTCATGAACTCTTCGAAGCTTCCTGGAGAAGAAACTGTGCTATATAATGATGAAATATTGTTATGTGACAAAATATATTGGAATGGTTTAGAAAATAATGTCATAAATCTTTCTTAGTTTTTAAAAATGTAAAAAAAAAAAAAAAAAAAAAAGAACAAGAACATTAAAAAAAAAAAAAAAACAGACTAAATCAAACTGTCATGAATTAAAGCTGAAAAGTTTTCATGATGAGGAAGGCGGAGGACCACACGGTCACAGCACAGGTCTCAGAAGAGTAGGAGGGGCCCATCCTCTGGCCACCAACCAAGCACGGAGAGCGAGAAACTAGGACACAGGGCTTTAACTCCCATTTCCTCTTTGACGGCAGGCAGAGTCCGCTCTTCCCCAACACTGGCCGTGCATTGAAAGGGCACGATGCTATCAGTTTACCCAGGAACGTCGAACATACGCATCATGGACTCAGCTTCTGTATCAACAAAACCTCTATCAGTCTTACCTGTAGCTATGAGACTCATTTTTAAAAAGTCTAAAAAGCCCATCCAGTGTGGCTCAGTGGATGGAGCATTTTCCCATGGACTGAGAGGTCCCAGTTCGATTCCGGGCAGGGCACATGCCCAGGTTTCGGGCTCGATTCTGGTGAGGGGGCTGTAGGAGGCAGCTGATCGATGTATCTCTCTCACATCGATGTTTCTGTCCCTCTCTCTCTAAAAACAAAAATCAATAAAAACATATCTTTTTTAAAAAAAAAAGTCTAAATATACTTGCTCCTTTTCTTTTTTTTTTTTTTTTTTTTATCCTCACCCGAGGACATTTTTCCATTTTTTTTTGTACAGATAGAGTGGGAGAGAGAGAGAGGAAGGGAGAGAGAGAGAGAGAGAAACATCGACGTGAAAGGGACACATCGAGTGGCTGCCACCCGCACGACCAACCAGGGCCGGGGACAAACTACAACCGAAGTACGCGCCCTTAGCGGGAACCGAACCCGGGTCTCTCCGGACCGCAGGCCGACGCTCTAACCGCTGAGCCAAACCGACCAGGGCTACTTGCTCCTTTTCTAATGCTGCTTCTGGGATCATCTGTGACTCCTACAATGATACCCTCTTAGAGTATAAGCAAGTGAACATCCTTGTGCCAAAATGTCACCCTTAAACAATCAGCCATTGGAACCGTATTGTAATGGGAGCCCATATATCTAGATTTTTTACAGAGCTATTCATGATCACACTTCTGTAGTAAAACTCTACAAACTACTCTAGCCATAATATTTTGTAATAATTATTGTCCAAGTGTGATTCTTTCCCCCATTGCTTGTCTTAATGAACATCATGTTCTCCCTTCCACCTCAACAAACTATATAAGTACTTAAACGTACACGGGGTTTTATATGAAAACGTGCCGACGGCAGATTTTACATAGAAACCGTATCCATGGGAAGAGAGTCTCTACATAAATGTGAACCAAGTCCGGCTGCTAGTGCTGAGATGCATCCCGAGGAGAATCTGAACGTAAACCCTGACCCCAGGGAAACCACGAGGGCCTGTCTCAGCTTCGCCCCCACAAGACTACGAGAAGCAGGAGACGAGACAGCCCTGCCAAGTCTTCCTTACCAGGTTCACAAGGTCTGTCACAAAGGCTGGTCCTCCCCTCGCCCTCCTTCTTACAATGGTGAGGGTCTTGTTACAGGTGTGTTGACTATACACCTCCATGTTACAACCAGTGGCTCCAATTTAAGGTAAATGAGCTAAAAGAGGTAGCGATGGAACTACAGACCACGTCACATGCAAGAGGTGCCATAATACATGACTCCCGGGGCATCACAGACATTATATGTCAGCACGGTCTCTCCGCAGACTCCACAGAGGCGTACGCGCAGCATGCGCAGTCCCTGGACGGGACCTTGGGCAGCTCCATCCCGCTCTACAGATCCTCAGAGGAAGAGAAGAGGGTGACCGTCATCAAAGCCCCGCACTACCCGGGGATCGGGCCCGTGGACGAGTCCGGCATCCCCACGGCCATCAGAACGGTAGGAGAAGCCTGCACAGAGCTGCGGGGTGTGGCTCCTGGGGTCTGCTCTCACGAGGGCTCCCCCCGCGCCGTCCGGTCCTCTGCGTGTGCGTGTGTGGCAGAGAGAGAGCTGTCTGTGGGAGCTCATCACAGTTTGTCCATTCTGAGCAAAATCCATGAAAACTGTGATTTTGTTAAATGACAGAAGTCTGTTTTGTTTTACCTTTTACCAAGGAGCGTGAGGGCAATAGGGAGAAAAGGAAGGCCTGAGAGAGCGACTCCTTTGGCCGCGCTCAGTTCCCACGTGCATGGCAGATAAGCCCGTGTTCCTTGAAGTGGATGTGCATTGACACAGGAGATGGGGAGCTGGGAGCTGGGAGCTGGGCGGTGAGATGCTTAGAGTGAAGATAGTTAATGTCATGGGAAGAAAAAAAAAGCGAAGAAAAATACACACGGCAGTGTCCCTTCAGCTGTGCCTGCGGAGCGCTCCCCGGATGCTGAGGGAAAGCGTTAGGTTGTTTTTTTAGTCTGTGAACTCTGCCAGAGCATTGCTCAGTGTGTCGGGGCAGCCCCTTCTGGCAAAGCTCGCAGTAGCAGCGGCTGTGAGAGCCGAGGCAGCCGCTGGCCGAGCCGGTCCCAGTCCGGGGAGGACAAGGTCTGTGGCCGCGACCAGGAGGACTCGGCGCCAGGATGCGAGCAGCAGCACCTCTGCAGGTGATGTTGGGGGTTCGAGAGTGGAGCTCAGGCTGCCGGCACTGTCCACCACACCCACATACCTGGCTGGGATGTCGCCAAGAGGGACTTCCCGGAATGCAAACCTGGGGGGCCAAAGAGAGTGGTGGGTACAGGAAGAGAAGGGAGAGAGGTCAGAGAAGGCCATGATCCGATTGGAAACACTCAAGCTGAACGGAAGACCGAGGGGGGCGGTTTCCGTCTCTCCTTGGGTTTGCATTGATTATACGGGGAATTACGTGTTCTATATACAGAGATCAGAGTTAAAAAATTAACTATTCTAAGCATCTGTATTAGACTTGTATAGCCGTGGGTTTTCTACTCGTTAGAGTCTGAGGACACTGAATGTGACTAATTATAAAGTCCTAAAAATGTATGTTGGAACTGAAGCTTGTCATACTGAAGGGACATAAAAAGTTCAGGGATCATGACTAACATTCTTAATCTTATGATGACTACATGTTTCGGGTAACAATGTTGTGTTGTTTATTTCTCTTTCGAGATTTCTGATTCAAAGTGGTTGTATTTAATTTTTTTTCCCCCTAATGATGTAGGAATAGTGTCAGACAGGTTGTTGTCATTGGTTTTGTTTAATTGATCCTTGAGGCATAATGTATAACCAAATTAGGAGATCCCTGATTCTATATAGTTATAGATTCTATAAAAAAAACTTTTATCTGAGACTTCTGGGTGTATTTCTAAGTCAACAAATGATATATAAAAATGAACAAGCAAAGCTGGACTTTTGTTTTTTAATCTGTAAGACATGATATTCTTAAATCGCGAGACCTCGCTTGTTAGATTGTACAAGGAAAATACTGAGATGTTGTAGACAGTGAAAATCAAGTAAAATGAAAATTTGATATTGTTCATCTACTGCCAGACCAAAGCTTGTGCAGACATGCCTAAGCAGACACCAGTCCCAGACACTCAATGCTAGTGTTCTTTCCATACAACAGAAGATACAATATAATCTGTACTAGAGCGGTGCTCTTACTTAGACATTTAAGGCTTCCCAGAGAAGGTGCGGGCCAGTGACGACCCCGTTCACGCGCCTGCCTTCCAGCCTGGGCCAGCACATCCCCAAGTATAGCTGTGTTTATACGTGCCGGGCTGTCGCTGAGCCAGTGCAGGCCGAGCAGCTCCTGCGTGTTTTCCTTTCTCATCCATGTAGAAAGTACTGATTGTCAGACTCCGACTGCTTCACATGGACTCTCTGCTGAGTGTGTGTGGTCGGTACCAAGGGCAGTACCATCTCCATGCATCATGCCATGCTCTCCTTGTAGACAGCCTGCGTGGACCAGGGCAACAGAATCTTGTCCGGTAACTCAGAAACTCCACAAGGCCAAGAGTCAACAATGTACCTTTGAGTTATTTGAATGAAGGGAAGCAGCTCCCTGAACTGTCCTCTCTCATGTGACCTGGGCCCTCGGTGTTAGCCTTTTTACTTGCCATTCTTAACAACAACAACAAACCCCACCAGGGTTCAGATCCCATGAGACTGTCTAATTGCGGCCAGCTAGTTAAGTGAAATACAAGACTCTTTTCTTCTCATTCAAATACTGCACCATTTGAACATTTTCAAAGCTGGAAAGGAGTAAAGCCGGACTAGAATTACTGTGTACTGGTGTGTAGAAAATAGGGGTCTTTCTGCTTTCTGGAACTCCCTGCCTGCTAAATCAACGTGGAGTTCTGATGTTCTGTAAACTGCAGGAACGTAAAAATCCAGGTATGTTTAGCCAACGTTATACAGAACAACTGAATGGTGAATTCCTAGTAGTTAGTGTCCATGCGAAATAATTTTGAAGGACACATACAAAAGCAAACATCCTCAAATTTGAGTAGACTTCTGTTTACTTAATCTCAGCATTAGCCATAACAAGCCCCGCGATGGCATTTATAAGGGACATTTAAGTGCTCAGAGGACTTCTTTTAGAACAGGACACAGAGTTTTTGTATCCCTTTGACCGGTTTCGCATTCCCCTTTGCCAACTGGCTGGGCATTTCTGGCATCTCTGTGCTCACCATATAAAGCTAGCAGATGGCAGACTGATCTGTGCCCTCCAGTAAGGGGAGGGAAAAAATCCTGTCTGTCAGGATGCATTGCCATATACAGCGATATGACTTACTTATGTCCAGGTGTGGTTGGAAAACACTTCTGCACAAGCTTGTATCTTATTTTCTGTTGCTGAATACTGTAAAGGAAATGAAGCTTAATAAAATAGAAACCGGTCTTTAATGAAAATAAATGTCCCATAAAGGTACTTGATCAACTACTGTGTTTAAATGGGCAAATCACAGCTAGATTCCAGCTTCACCACTGCCCCCGCCCCGCCCCGCCGGCTCCCACCATTTGAACATAAGGTCAATCAACAAACCCCTCCAATTTTCCATTGTAGAAAGAGCCTGGAATGAAGGAAGGGGTGATCCACAACAAACCCAAGTAGCCTTACTGTTCATCAATATTTGTGGTGATTACTGTCTATTACTAGACACCAAAACAAAATTGGATACAGTACAAAACCCTCAATGTCCAAATGAAAAATGCAATGACCACATTGAAACCAAAGCTCAATCTCACAGGTGTAAGAATATTTTTGTGGCAGTCCTAACAGAATATTTTATATCAAGGAAATGATCTCGGGGCAAAATCTGGTATATTAGTTACTGTACGCAGAACGGTTGAGCCTCTCGCCCAAGTTGCTCTGGAAATGTTGAGATAAAGACCTTGCCAAGAAAAATCTTTAATTATGATTATAAAGGAGGCTACTTTCACAGGTACACAGTATAGTAAAGTTCTGTCCAATAACCTGGATTCATCCATTATTTTATTCTATAAATATCTGATGTTCCCTACGGTTATTGTTTATTGAGCATTTCTTATATTGTGGGCATTGTTCTAGATCTTTTTGTATACGTCATCTCATTCAGTTTCTGTAACAATCCTGTGATGTGGAGGGACCTCGAGGGTATTATGCTAAGCGAAAAAAGCCATCAGAGAAAGATAAATATCACATGGGTCTCACTTATTTGTGGAATATAATGAACAAGGTGGGCTAATGAATGAAATAGACCCAGAGACACAGAAAGGAGTATGGTTCAGACTGACAAACCTCAGAGTAGGGGGCAGGGGAGATGGATGAGATGAACCAAAGAACTTATATGCATGCATGCATAACCAATGGACATAGACTATAATGCTGGGGGGTTGGGGGGGGCAGGATGGGAAAGAGGGTATCTAGGGGGGAAAGGAGAAACATCTGTAACAAAAACAAATTAATAAAAATTGGGGAAAAATTATTATTTCATTTTAAAGAAGAGAAAATTGAGGCTCTCAGAGGTTACCCAACTCATCCAAATTCACATTGCTGGGAAACAGTCATTAAAAGAACCAGTATTTGAATGCAGGTTGGTTGACATTCATGTTGTCTCCCCACTACAACCCGCTGTTCCTATCACGGTGGAGCCTGGGCTGCACACGGAGAAGCTTCTACTCTCAGGGAATTTACAGTTTAGCAGAGCAAATGTTGTATACGTTTCCTATCAGGTCAAAGGTCTTTGAGACAATATCTCCATCTTAGATTTGCTCTCAGACTCTGTCACTATATTTGGTACTTGAGTAACTTAGATGAGAAAATATCATATTCTTATTTCTCTGGGCCTAAGTTGACCAGAATACAGTTGGAGTAAAAAATATCCCTTTGTTAATTCTAAAAATAAGTCTTAAACAGAACACTCACTAAAAAGTTATTTTAAGAATAATGGTAATTATCACCAAAAGGAGCAAAGCACACGACGATAACACTATTACTTTTATTCGGTGACCTTTGTATAAACATGTTTGTGCAAATATTAACTGTCTGGTGCTGGGCAAACTAGGTGGAGGATAAAGTAAAACCCAGCCTCTGTGATGGTCCAGCTCAGCCCAAAGGCAAACAAGGGGAAACGTATTTACACACTGCATGCATAGCTGGATAAGTGACTCGTATTGTCACCACGAGATAGATTTTTTTAATCGTATAAATTAAAATCGTAGAAATTTGCTATTAAAAAAGATCAGTATAGAAAGAGAAACACTGAGGAGCGCTGTTTACTTGGAAGCAGTTGGTAGCTGTTGGCCATTCTCTTTCACAGACGGTCGACAGACCGAAGGACTGGTACAAGACGATGTTCAAGCAAATTCACATGGTGCACAAGCCGGGTACGTATGTTGCTGTGTTCAATGGGTCCCGGTGGGTTGAAGGATGTATATGTATTCTCTCCTTCTATATAGTTTTGGCTCACCCCAGATGTCAAGACCCTAGCAAACTTCCTGGCCCCCACTGTTCCTTTTGAACACCCCCCCCCAATATCACCCTTCAAATCAGACCCCTGTGCTCCTAACCCAGCCCTGATCTGCCAACGAGCCTCTTATGAGGTGACCTCGAAGAGGTGCCAGGTCCGCCGTTCTCGTCCCTTCATCCTTCCTTCCCCCACAGTCTGAACCCGTGTGGCTCGCTGTCCACACGTGTCAGCTCCTCGTCCAGAGAGGGAGCCTAGGTGGGTCTTGCTGCATTGACAGAGATACTTAAAGCACTTACGAAAGGACAGTCACACCCCGGAGGAGAGGGCTGCCTGGGGAGGTGAGGCACAGGGACTCACCTTGGAAGCTGTGAAGAGGCCACAGGGCAAAGATGTTACAGATGAGAGAAGGAGAGCGATCAAACTGCAGAAGCCCAGCGAAAAACAATATTTAAAAAAATTGTTAAAATGGTATTTTGAATTAGGCAAAATGCATTGGTTTTCTAATGAATTTCTGTTGTTTCTGCAAAGTTGATACAGTGACAAAGTCTGCATTACCATAACGTTTATGTTTTGTTTTCTAGATGATGACACAGACATGTATAATACTCCTTACACATATAACGCAGGTAGGGCGGGTTTCCTCGCTTGCAATGAGTACTTTTCACCCTGCAATGCTTGGACAATGTCACCGTCACTTCTGACCATGAGCGCATGTCTTCAGCTTACACATGTAGCAGGATGCTCTCCCCACTGGGCCTCAGAGCACGCATAACAGAAGGATTGATCGTTTCCCATGGAAACGAGAACTAACAACGTTTTACCTCATTCGTTCCCACTGTTAGTTTATTCTCAGCATCAGGAATGTTTAACCCAGGCTGGCCTGAGAGAACACATTGTAACCGTACAAAGCGAGATACAGATCTCCTTTTATCAGGAGAGAGCGATTACCCTTGCTACCATTGCTAAGGCCTCTCGGATACACTTCACAAAAAACAAGTCATCTTTCAGATACACTACACAGAAAAACAAGCCACGCACAGTATTCTGTGCCCTTGCCCACGCCTTGGCTCCAAAATGCAACCATTCATTGAAGGATTGTTTCAGATGCCACTGGACCGGGCCCTTCTGACTCAGAGTTGCCAGTGGCCATAAAGGAATGCTGTCCATTCCGGGCGTTCCTGCTCGTGTTTGAGTGTGTTGGGATCTTGGAAGTGATTGAGGGAACTCCTAAAAAATGTTTCTCGTCATCACTTTCTCCTAAAGGTCACATGGGAGGAGCCCACACTGGGCCTCCTGCCTGCTCAGCCTGGGCTCCAGACCCCTGCAGGCTGCGTGTGTGTCTCTCCAGGGCAGGTCTCCCCTCCCGTCTGCAGCTGCAGCCTCCCGGCCCTCGCCAGCCCGGCTCGGAGCTGCAGCTCTCTGCTCCGGGACACCGACGGCCAGCACGCAGGCCCTGAGCTCTCAGGGATGCTGCCGCTAGTCTCCAAAGACAAAGGGGGAACAAAACAAAGCCAGATAACAACAACAAAAAGACACTAAACAGAGCAAACTTCGAAGGGACAAGGCCTCTGTTTTCTGACCCCTGATGGTCCACATGTTAGTGGGACCGACTAGATGTGGCCTTCACTTTTATTCCTGGCCCTGGGTCCTCCGAACTCACCTCCTGTGTTTAGCTTGTTTAGAAAATGAAATTCAACTGAGTCCATTTTAAAGATCTTGGCTGTATTCAGTGATCCCTCAGTTAGGCAGCAGCCCGAGCTCCGAGGAGCTGTGCAAGGTGAAGGCCCTGGAGGCAGAAGGGAGCAGGACGGGGAAGCTGTAGGAGGCGGAGAAGCAGATCAGATCGGGTGTGGCCAGGTCGCTGCCCTTAGGGGATGGTGGGGTCGATCAGGCAGACCTGCTGGCGCTGAGCAGGTGGCTCCTGACCGGATTAAGAGTCCATTTCAGGGAGAGGCCTGCACTGGAACTAAGTTAAGCCTGGTTTGGGGACCCGGGCTTTGCATAAGCAGCTTCATTTGGGGCCTGCTGTCCCTTAACCAGCTCTAGAGCTGAAACCTGACTGGAAGTCAGGCGATGCAGTGCAGACACCATCTCTTCTTATTTGTCGTGGCGATTATCTGGAACTTCCAGGGAAGTTAAGCGAAACCAGACTTCGCTCCAAAGCTGGGGCTGCAGGACATTCCGAATGTAATTATTTTTAACACTGACGTTTTGTTTCCATTCGTCATTAGTAAATTGAACAATCGTTACATATAACCTTGTGGAGCTCTTGGGAGAGAGTGTTACCGTTTCATCAGGAGACAACGGGTCTCTTCTGTTTCTACTAACCCTGTGTCCTGCTGTTGGGTCTTCTCCGCCTCTTGTCCCTGTGCCTCTGGGCCACACTCGCCCCCTCGCCCCCAGTCCGACCCTTCAGCCCTCACTCCAGGGCCTTCGACCAATTCACCGTCTTCTAAACCCTTTAATCTCTGCTGAATCTTTTCTGCATTTGGCCTTGATCATGTTACTGGTTATGTTCCATCATAATCCTACCTGTGTCTCTTTTCCCCAATGTGCCAGAAGCTTTTGAAGGATTTCTGTTTCCCTAAGCCTTGCACAGCACAAAGAAAATTACTCATTATTTTGCTTGGCTGCAATTAACACATCAATTTTCATGTGTAAATCAGAGTTTCTAAAGTAATAGAAGCTATTTGGGACCAGTTCTGTTAAGTATTTTTATCTTCCTCTGAAATCTTAACTATGTTGTTAGTTTATGTTATCCAGGAGAAAATTTGAAGAGGACCTGTAAGTTTTTCCTAATACTAATCTGAATTATTACTAATTCAAAATAATTGACAAAGATTTACTGTAATCAATGCTTGTGTACAGAATATAATAATAACAAATTAATGTATTAATAAAGCTTAATACATGAATAATATTAATAAATTAACAAAGATCATACTGCCCAATGCACACATTATGAATATGCTTATTGATTATAACTTTGGCAAAAATCATTGGCTATTTTATGGGGTACAAATAATTTCATGCATTTTAAAGTGTTGTTTGCTCCTGTTTGTTGTGTTTTGTTGTGTTTCACGATAGGCCTACACAACTCGCCCTACAGTGCTCAGTCACATCCTGCTGCAAAGACCCAGACCTACAGACCCCTCTCCAAAAGCCACTCGGACAATGGCACAGATGTCTTCAAGGAGGCCTCCTCCCCTGCCCCTCGGCCATGTGTTCCTCCTCCAGTCCCACCGCTTCGACCAAGAGATTGGGCTTCAACAGAAAAGTAAGGCATTTCCCTCCAGATGGCCTGTTTGGCTTAGTATACAAAAGAGCTGCACTGCATTCAGTAGAATTGGTGGGGACAGTGTATGTGTAATCTTCTCAGTCAGCACGTGTACCACCCTCGACAGAGCATAGCAAACCCTTTCACAGGCTTAGTCCACGATATTATAGTGACCTAAGTTAGACCTGCCAGAACATGGGTACAAGCTCTGCTGTCTGATCAATAAGTGCATATATGAAGACAAATCAATAGAAATAATTGACGTACTGGGCATAGCAGGTCAGAGACTGTGCAGTGAATTTTCAGTTTCCTTGGATTTGAAATGTTAGGTCCATTAATTATTGAAAATTTCCCTCTGATACACAAAAATGTCTTTTTGAAAACAGGAAGATTATTCATCAATCATAAACAAGGCATTGGTTAATAAGTGTCTATCTGTGACTCATTCCCACCTGTTTTTCGAGACAATACTAATTTTTATTTCTCCACAGAAATGTTTTTTTTAAATTATCCTCACAAAAATAAAAATTTATAAACACATTTTTATTGTGCCACTTAGAAATGATGAATACTCCTACTTATAGGTAACCCTTACTGAGAGTATGCTATGAGCCAAGCACTATTGTATCATTTAATTCTCAGGACAACCCAATGAAATATGTTTTATTTCAAACCCACTTTAGAGAGAAAGAAACTGCGATTTAGAAAATTAAAACAGCCCTGGCCGGTTTGGCTCAGCAGTTAGAGCATCGGCCCGCAGACCAGAAAGTCCCGGGTTTGGTTCCCACTAAGGGCACGTACCTCGGATTCGGTTTGTCTCCGGCCCCAGCTGGGGTCATATGGGTGGCAGCCAGTCCATGTGTCTCTCTCATGTTGATGTTTCTCTCTCTCTCTTCCTCCCTGTCTCCCTCTGGCTCTATCTGAAGATAAATGTCCTCGAGTGAGGATAAAAAGAATTTTAAAAAGCCCTGGCCAGTTTGGCTCAGCAGTTAGAGCGTCGGCCTGCGGTCCCGAGAGACCCGGGTTCGGTTCCCGCTAAGGGCACGTACCTCGGTTGTAGTTTGTCCCTGGCCCTGGTTGGTTGTGCGGGTGGCAGCCACTCGATGTGTCCCTTCACGTCGATGTTTCTCTCTCTCTCTCCCTTCCTCTCTCTCCCTCCCGTTCTATCTGTACAAAAAATGGAAAAATATCCTCGGCTGAGGATTAAAAAAAAAAATTAAAACAACTTGCTCAGCTCATACAACTGGTATGTCCAAGCCAGGTTTCAGACTCAACCTCTGAATAAAGTCATAGCTCATGTTATACCAGTGATTAATAAATAAGGATATAAGGATTCTTTAGTATTAATACCCATCTCAAAAAAATTATACTCAACATTGTATTATAGCATTAGTAGTAACTGATGATCATACAAGGTGTAAGACACCATGAAAATGGATGCACCCATGTGAGAAGATTTCATTTTAATACCAATCTTCTCATGATGAATGGTACATTTTAGAGCTGTGATGTCTGAAATTTGAGAAATAATTGTCTAGACATAAATGGTGTCTCTCCATAAAAAAGAACCTAAATTAATTCAGAGGTAAATGTCTTATTTGCTCTACTTATTTAGTAAAAATAAATCTCTCCTTAAGAAATATGCTAATCTCTTTACCCTTTCTAGCTGGCTCTCAGATACATCGTCTTGGGTAACGCTCAAAACACCTCCGTTGAATATTACTCACCGGTTTACCGGAAAGCCAGCACTTGCCTGATTCTCTTGTCTCTGGAGTCACTTCTACTTCCAACAAGTCATAGAGTCAGAATCCCGTCCCATTCCAAGGGTCAGAATTGCCCCATCTAGAGTCAAAAAATCCTTTTTCCCCAGCAAGCCATCTTTAGCACCAGCTACCCAAAAAGCTTTATTTTTGGAGTCCTTCTGTGACCACCTCTTGAAGGATATTAGTTCAGGAAAAAGCTAGTTCCAAGGTCCCCTGTGGGATGGGACAGATGCTTTACTCTGGTTTTTTGAGGGTAATACCAAAGGAAGGTCACCTGTCCCCGCAGCTTGCTCCTGTGGTTGGCAACCCAAGCGATATGTTGGCTCTTTTCACAAACGGTGATGCTAATTGCAAGATAAACAAGATCGAACATGGTGTGTGCGTTACTCCTTGTCACTTTGAATCAAGGATGCCAGTCCAGAGTGCTGGGATAAACTCACATAGCGTAATGGAGCATGAATACCACTTTCCGCTGCCACTGTGTGTGACCCACGGTTTCCTAGCAGATCCATGTCCCTTGTGGGCATGTTTGAGCCAGCAGGAGGAGCATCATTGCATGAAAGAAAAATAGAGGAAAACATACTCTGAAATAAAAGAAAATCACTTTGTTTAAACCATTTATGCCAAACAAAACATAAATGAGATATTGGGGCAGGTTAGCTTTTTATCCTATGAAACTTATATTTGTTTTGGGGGGGGTCATATATCCTGTTTTTATTTTTCACAAACATAATGTTATGAACAAATTTCAATGCAATTAAATATTATTGCACAACATAATTTTTTATTAAGACATAATTGATATATAACATTATATTCATTTCAGGGCTTTTTTTTAAAGGTAATACTTTTTATTAAAAATCTATATTAAATTAACTTTGAAAACAGTGAGTGGTTATATACAACTGCTTGAGGCACAGGAAATTATTTTCATGCCTAATTTGTTGGTTATTGGTTATTTCCAGGCATGACTGGGATCCTCCAGACAGAAAAGTCGACACAAGAAAATTTCGTTCTGAGCCCAGGAGTATTTTTGAATATGAACCTGGGAAGTCGTCAATTCTGCAGCATGAAAGACCAGTAAGCGCTTGTCATTAAACAGAAGCCCAGTTCTCGAGGCTTCTTGGGTTCTTAAACAAACCCAAATTTCTTATTGTTTAGCAATGTTGATCACAAAGGTAATTTATTTATTTGACATTATTTAGAAATCAAGTTTCTTTTGCATCCTGCTTTGTGCATCTTGTATTCTCTAATATGTATCATTCCTACAGATCAAATATAGGACTTACTTGCATGGAACTATAGCTATGCCCACTCATAGCCCTGAGTTTAATTTTAAAAAAAGAACAACACTCATAAATGCAACACTTAATTGCTAGTCTACATTGCTAATGAGAAAAACACTCATTCATTGATCTCTTTGATACAAAGGGACCCAGGCAGTGCCCTCTCTTCATCTCCGTATAGTTCATTAATATGTCTATGGCTTCAGGGGAAGTTTTCCAAATGCCTTTTTTAAACAAGTTGGTTTTAATTGATTCTTGTTCAATCTCTCTCAGGTTACCAAGCCTCAAGCTTCCTGACTGTCAATCTAATGAATCAAGATTGTATTTAACTTTGCAGTATTTGACAATTATTTGCAAATAACCATTTGCTTCCCTAAAGTGCAATTTAACAAACAGGTTCTTGCAATTTAACAAACAGGTTCTTGCTTGGCCCTCTTTGTTTTTTGGTCCCCAGTCTTCCTGTCTGAGTCTGTGTTCTCTCCTCGATCCGTGCCCTCGGGGTGGCTTTGAACATGTGATTCCTCTGCCTCTGTGTCAAAGTCTGCTTCTAGAGAGACAGTTGATGTCATTTGCTATTTACTCTCTGCCTTGTCTTAAAAGAATGTTAGGTGTCAGTGAACAGGAAAGAGTATCCAAGAAACCACATTATCAGTTAAAACGCAAGAGCAGCCCTGAAATTTGTCAGGAAACCCTGCCCTCACCACACCCAACATGAGTGTCCTTGATTTCTTTTGTGAAACTTGTACTTATGGTTATGTTCTTGAGAAACATGTAAGAAAACCTCACAATCACATAATTCACATGTGATATTTATCTTTTTTTTTTTTTGCCTTTCTACAAATAATTTCTATCTTTTAGAGTAACAGGACTCTAACAGAAAAACTGGGGGTGGGGAAAGGAAACATCACTGATTTGCGGGCTCCATTGCCCATTTATAACCGATTTCCTAGGTTATGTGATTGAAGATCATGATTTCTAGGAGGGGAACCGAGTGAATCCATGATGTCACCATTGCATAAAATTGAAAACAGCAAAATAATTATGCAAAACAATGAATCTCAGATTTCAGAGTAAATACCAAAACTTTAATGATCATTCTAACGATTTATGATGCTCTTAGGATGAGGAATGTTGTAAGTGCGTTGAAATGTTTTGATAGCTGTAGCATCAGGAAACAGGATTGATTTTATAAACATTCCCATCGGGATAGTTCCGTTATTGACTCAACAAAACTATTGCGCACCAGCTATGCACCAGACGTTGTGTTAGATGCCAAGGACACAAGAGTGCACAAGACACAGCCTCTACCTCGAGGAGCTTTGAGTCTGTCATTTAACAGGTGTGCAGGGTGGACCAGCATTTGTGTGGACTAGACCACCTGTTCTGTGGGTAAAACCGTTACACCTAAAGAATCCTCCCTTTGCCCCCTTAAAAGCTCAGTCATGGGCCCTGTCACTGTGACTGAAATTCCCAGAGTATTCATGTCTTTGGGCTCAAGCTTTGAAGGTTCCTAGTTTAAAAATAGAATAACAACAACAACAATAGCAATAGTTGTAGATGTTTCTGGAGCACTTACTATGTGCCAGGCCCTGTAATTAGTAATTTATGCTTTATCTCATATAATGATCCCGACACCCTGTGAAGTAGATATATGGCCCTTCCATTCTGCAGATGGAGAGACTGAGCACAGTCGGTAACCTTGCCCAAGGTCACGCTGCTGGTGGGGGTTGGAGGTGGGCGGGGAGCCCACCTCACGGTGCCTGGCGCTCTCAACCTCCTCGGCTGCTGCGCTCCACGATTAGCTGAGCAGGAGACACGTCCAGCCAGTAGTCAGTATCATCTCAAGTAATCTGATTATTCTGCAGTATAACTTAGTCTATCTGCCCATGATAACAAATTAGTGCACTTGATTGATTTAACCAGAAACCTGGGCCCTGAGCAGTTAAGACGCAGACTGCTTAACTGCTGCTAGAAGAATAAAAAGATCTGGAGTGTGGGTGTCACCGGAGGACTGGCTATGGAGGGGTCTCTGCAGCCTCAGCTACAGGGCAGTAGAACAGACCCAGATCCTGGGAAGGCGGTGAGAATGGATATCTGATGAAGAAATGGAAAGACCCAAAACCTGTATTCCTCCTAAACAATTTTGCTGGGGCCAGTCTTAGGCAAAAAGATGTGAGCTCATCCTCTGTACCATTTTGGCCAGGATTTTTATTACAGGACTAGGCTGTCATCTTTTTGTTGTTGGTGTCAACTGTAAATTCATTCTGATTGCTTCTCTAAATCGGGGGGGAGGGGGTGCAGGTGGTGTTGCAGGCACCAGCTACATATTGATACAATTTGCACCAGCTCTGAAGTGTCTTGAACAGACAAGTTGTAGCCGAAGAAGGCAGATTTGCTAAGTGAAAGTCAGGTAGTAGCAAATGGACAACACTCAAGGATGGCAAGGTATTCTGAAGGCACCCTATGTCTTTTTTTTTTTTTATCCTCACCTGAGGACATTTTCCCATTTTTTTTGTTCAGGTAGAGTGGGAGGGAGAGAGAGGAACAGAGAGAGAGAGAGAAACATCGACGTGAAAGGAACACGACCGACCAGGGCCGGGGACAAACTGCAACCGAAGTACGCGCCCTTAGCGGGAACCGAACCCGGGTCTCTCAGGACCTCAGGCCGATGCTCTAACCGCTGAGCCAAACCGGCCAGGACGGCACCCTATGTCCTTTAACTTCAAGGTGGTTTGTGAGCAGGTCTTTTGCTCTTTTCATATTTAATTGAATGTAAATTATAAAGAGCTAGGTCACTCTCTGTTGCCCCTTTCAGTTCGGAGATGACTCCATCATCTGCCCAGTTTTCCTAAATGTCATCTTGGGTTCCCTTCTTCCCCAGTGGTCTCTAAGTCCCACCCCTAGGAGTGATGCCACTGCTACTCCTCGGTGCTGGTCCTTAGTCGCCCAGGCCTCTTTGCAATGACAACTGCCTGACTCATTCCCCTAATTCTCCAATCTTTATAAAACCTCCTGCTCAAAAGTTTCTCTGGCAAGTTTATTTAGGAAAAAAAATCCAAATTCCTTTATATAATTTACTCCCTGGCCAGTTTGGCTCAGCAGTTAGGGCACGTACCTCGGTTGCAGCTTGTCCCTGGCCCCGGTTGGGGTCCTGTGGGTGGCAACCACTCGATGTGTCTCTCTCATATCGATGTTTCTCTCTCTCTCTTCCTTCCTTTCTCCCTCCCGCTCTATCCGAAGATAAATGCAAAAATGTCCTCGGGTGAAGATAGAAAAAATAATTTAAAAAAATTCCTTTATGTAATTTACAAAAAACCTTGTGGTGTGGCCCCCACTGACCTCTCCAGCCTCGTATCTCTTCCTGCCCTTCCTGCCTCACTCCTCGGTTCCAGCTGTCATTTCCTTCCCTGCTAGACCTTTGCACAGGCTCTTCCCCCGCCAGGAGAGCTCTCTCCACCACCTGCACTGGGTCACCCTGCCCGGCTCCTCAGCTGAAGGTGCAGAGCGCCCCCTGCTGGTGCCCGCAGCAGGCTCAGTCCCCCTTACTCACACGCTGAACTGTAATGGCCCTTTTGCTTGTCTGTGTCCCTCACTAGACTTTAAGCTTCTTGAAGGCAGGGACCATGTCTGGTGCACCAGCTGTCTCCCCAGCACCTAGCACAATGCCCGGCACATGGTAGGTGTTAAGTGAATACTGGTTGAATTAGTAAGTGAATGAATGAATACAGGCTTTACCATTGCCGTGAGTGGGTCGAGTTGGTGAGACCGAATCCCTGTTCTCTTGCTTCTCTGGGAAGTTACAGTTCTGGTGACAAAAGGCACGGTGTGTCTCCATCGGAGTACACACGGGAGATTCGATGCGATGCTATCGGTACGTGGTCCACTGGCTCCATGAGCCCCGGGGTGCGGGGCGCGGCGGGGAAGCGCCGTGTAAAGGAAGGGCCTTCCCCAGACGCTTCCCCCCTTCTTCCCCACAAGTACACGGAGTATGCATTTCTGGTCTTCTACACGGAAGTGAACGTGAATGCAGTTTTTTAAGGGCATAGATGTTCATTTGACTATAAATTTAGAAATGTTGATTAAATCGCCTAATGTTTAATCTGGAAAAGTACTTTGCGATCAGCAGGAATCTATCTTTCACTGACTTGCCCCACAATTTACTCCATGAGACAATCCCATCCCATCTGGATTGGATATGTTTAGAGATGAGCCCTAGTAAAATAAAATAAATGTAAATAAAACACTTATTTAGGACTACTCTATGCTTGATGAAAATGGAAACAATATAAAGATGTTGCCTTTCCATGCAATAACTCAACCACCACATAACGATAACAGCAGAAAGGACTAATCATTACAAACACAGTGCGGAGCTGAAATGCATGAAACCCTCAGTGAACTTCAGTGTCTTTATCCATGAATATTGTCATTCAAAGCTTAAACTCTAACAATCTTGGAGGCTTCATCTGATGGTTTAAACCCAAAGAATTAGCCCAACTAACAACGTGTACAGTATGTATTGTGGGACCACGACAAATATAAAACATAGTATCCATGCCATTAAAGCTTAACAATCTAATGAACATAACTCTAAAGAACCAAATTATGCTGACACTTCTTGAACAGCAGATAGAAAGTATATGTTTGCAGTGAGAACACCGACAACGGTAGAAATTTTATAACCTGAAAAGCAACTAAATGCTTTTAAGCTGCGGAAAACAGGAAACTTGACAAACTGTTCGTATTGCAGTAAGAATCATGTGTGCTTTGTCACTTTCGACTTCCCTCCTGCAC